TTATTATTCTTTATATTATTTATTAATATATTATAATATTATTTATTAATAATATTTGTTAATATATTATATTAATGGTATATTATTTATTAATAATATATTATTTATTCATATATTATTATAATGTTTATTAATTAAATTAATAATATTTATTATATTATTCATTAATATAATATTATTTATTAATATTAATATATTAGTATATATTTATTTATAATAATATTTATTAATATTATAGTATTTATTAATATATAATAATATTATTTATCAATATAATATTATTTATGAATATATTATAATATTATTTATTAATATATAGTAATATAATATCATTTATTAATATAATATTATTTATTTACTAATATAATATTATTTACAAGTAAAATTATGCTCAAAAGTATTAATAAATAGTTATACTCATGGACAGCTATTTTTCAAAAAATATATTCCCCCTTTTCAAATCCATAAGATAATTTCCAAAAAAAATGACCTCATTTTCTATTGATCAATAAGTCATTTTTCATTGACCAGTTGAATTTTTACCAAACAAACACTTGAAAATACGAAAATTATTTTTCAAAAATCATTTTTTACTAAATAAATGGAGTCTATCTTCCTTTTTTTAAATCCGTAAGATAATTTTTAGAAAAAATTATCTTATTTTTCGTTGACTAATATGTCATTTTTCATTGATCATCCAATTTTCTGTTACATAAACACTTGAAAATGCAAAAATTATTTTCTGTGAAACAAACGGAACTGTATGTACAATTGATTTTGTAGGAATAAAAAACAAACTCCATAAAATTTTCTTATTTCTATGCAATCTAATAAGCTTAGATCCGTTATATTTGAATTTTTATTTGATGTGAAAATTATATTTTTTGTCTTAATATGAGTATAATTAAAAAATTCATTTAAATTAACATTTACAAAAAATTTCTAATATATTTTAATAAATTACTTTTAACATTTTTAGAATTAAAACTTTATTATGAGTATTTTAATTAACCAGTTTTAGTTTGGTCAAAAAAATCACTGTTAGCATTTTAGTCTGATTATAAAAAACCTAATAATAAAAAAAATTCATTTAAATTAAAATTTATAAAAATTTACTAAAGGTATTTTAGTCAATCACTTTTAATACTTTTGGAACTACAATTTTAAATAAATTAATTTTCCATAAACTTTATTTTTAATTTTAGTTGATTTAATTAAACTTAAATAAATTAATAAAAGTTATATATATTTAAAGATAATTTTATTAATTTAAAAATTTATTAAAATATTTAGGTCAATCACTTTTAATACTTTTAGAGTTCACACTTTTAAATATTAAAAATAATTATATTTATCTGCATTGAAAGAAACAACAAATTTATTGTCAATATTATTAATTGGCTTTGATCACAACAATCTATATTAGTTAGAAGCATATTACCATGTGATTTAAAAGTCTTATACGATAGATATGTTTATATATCTTAGGATTTAGTGATACAATTTAATAAAGAACTTAGTTAACTTTTGATATATATTTTAAGTTTAAATTAAAAAAAAATTATTTATATATAAAAATAAATTTAGAAAACAGAAACAAATTATGAAAAGAGTATTTGTTTAAAGGTAGATTTTTCATTAAATCTCTATTTTAATAGTAAGATGCACTTTTAATATTTTAAACTTCAAAAAATTTTAATATGAAATGAAAACTAATTATTTATAGCAATGAAGAAAAAAAACACCAACAACATGAAATAAATATTTTGAATGACAGCTAATTAGTTAAGCAGGCTAGAAATGAGAAATCAACTGTAATTAATCAATATTTTTATTTTATATGAAAAGAGTTAATAATAAAAAAGTTTAGTAATAAAAAAATTATTTAAATGAAAATTTATTAAAATTTTAATAAATGAGAACTGAATAATAAAAAGTTAATAATAAAAAATATTTAATTAAGATTTATTAAAAATTTTATAAAAAAATATTTTAATCACTCACTTTTAATAGTTTAAAAATTAAGATGTTATTAAAAATATTTTAATAAATCATTATTAATACTTTTGAAATTCACGCTATATAAAGAAAGCAAAGGTTAGCTAAATCGTCCTTTAGGAAGTTTCAAGGTATGAGGAAAGGCCGGTCACCAACTTTGTGGGTATGTTGAACGCTTTAAAATTCTAAACTTTACTTTGCACCGAAAATGAAAAAGATTTTGGGGCCGGGGGTGCCACTGCCACCACACCATCTTCCTTTGACCAATTATTTAATTTAATCTGTCTTAAATTAGTGGACAAACCCTAGAATGATGCATTAATTGGTGCTTTTGCATACATTATTTTGTTTAAATGCTTACAGGTAAGCTTCTTTTTGCCCACAAGCTTTTAGTTGCCGATTTTTGAGAACCGCAATATTCTTTGCAGCCATTAACAAATAACAATCCCATTGTTTTCTCAACCAAATACATTAATTCAAAAGAAAAAAAAAAATACACTAGGGTTGCAGCAGCTCGTGATCCCATCAAATTAAGCAGTTGATTTCAAAATGTGGGGAAAACCTAGAAATTTGGAATGCATGGAATGGGTCCCATTTTCCATCATCTTCTAGTCAAGTTGAGAGAAAAGAAACACCAATAAACTATCAAAATGTTAGTTGGAGTTATTGGGACTAGAAGAGAATAAGTCGGCCTGCAATAATATCTCACCCTTCAGTTGAAAAGAACCACAAGATTACTTTCTCCTTGCATCAAGAAAAACGAATCTGGAGATTGGATACAAGTTAATATTATGGACTGTATTAAAAGTGAAGAGAAATGATGATGCCCTAATGTCAAAACTAATTGAGGATGGCAATTAAAGGGATTATCTTTGTGAAAAGGGAGAGTCCAGAAAGAATGAAAGCAACAGCTTGAATAACTGGCTTTTGGCCAAAAAAAAAGAAAAAAGGAAAAAGATAACAGAAACTGGCTGCATGGTTTATGTGTATTCAGATCCAACAATTGGCCTTCTCTTTTTAAGCATGACAAGACAAATTTTGGGTTTTAAGACTTTCTCTTCAGTTTAACATGTCTTGTTTGTACTAAAACTGACAACTTACTGTTACTGCATTCTTTCAAGTTAGAGATGATTTAAGACTTAAGACAGATTTCGACTTGAAAGATTTGAAAAGATACTAATTGGATTCAAGTTGCAATCGTGCTTGAATTGTCTCCAACCCCACTTAATTTATTGGATTATAAGTTGACTATAATCTAGAGAAAGAGAGAATCCCGAAGCTAATAAACCCTTCTTTCTAGGAACAAATAAAGCAACACCACAATTTGATTATCCAATTCCAATCTTCAGCTCCACCTTAATCTGTAAACTAGTTTAGCATTGAGGTTGAAAGTGGCTTTTACATTTAAAAATCACTTTTGACCGTTCTAAATAATAACACAAGTGAGAAGCATCATTGTAATTCTTTTTACTACAATTATCCAATTAAAATAAAAATTTTTATAAGAATTCACTACTTGTAAATGTGAGTTTCATATAAAATTTTAATAGATCTTTTATAATTCTGAATTATAATTGATTAATTATATTACAATTATTGTAGGTGATATGTTCTAAAAAAAGTGATTTCAATTTAAAATTTTGATTTAGAAACTCAAACAAAAAAACTAAATAGGAGGTGTTTTGGGTTTATCTACATTTTTGTAACTAAAATGACTTTACTATAATTATATATCTAAATTTTTATTATTTTATGCATATCTTTTAGATATTTTAATTCATTACAATATTTTTTTACGGTAATACCAAGCACTTAAAATTCTTAAACCATATTTTTTTCATCACACTTTTAAACAAAAATTTTCAATCCCAACTTTTTCAAGCATAATAATAATAATAATAATAATAATAATGTTAAACTAGACCTAATTCTTACTCAAAACCCATTGTGGTACATACCTTGATCACAAATTGCAAGTGATTGATCCTATCTCAAAAGGGTCAGGGTAAAAAAAAAAGATTTTCCATGCAGATTGGTTCTACATTTCAATCACGTCAACTAACAGGATCATGATCATGATTATCGGAACAAGAGGAAAGACAAAACATTAAAACAGGTATCTCCAAGAACTCAGACTGCCTGCTTCATCAATTGCCATTATCTCTATCGTTAAGTGGGTCAGAAAATTGGGAGCAATTCTGCCTAATTAACATTGTTCTTTGGAAATCCTGACTCTAGTGTCACAACATGAGGACATTCCTGATGGTTTGCAAATTAGGGTTTCGCATTGGTAACAGACAAATAATAGCTGCAGACATGTAATGACAACAGCTGGATGTTAATACTGTCTCCTGTTGAGTCCCCACCTCTACAAGTTAGCAGCGAAGGGCTTAAAGTTAAATGAGTTGCACAAATAGTACATGGACTGGAACCCACCTCATTTTCTAACCTATGGCTTTGAAATATTTCTGAACCTAAACTCACTTTTGCTTTTAGGTTTTGAAATTTAAGAGAAATGAAGAGACAAAGTGTATTACCTTTCCACAGCCACCAATGACCAATCAATCACCAAACCAACCAGCCAAGCAGTAGGATGTGTTTCATTAGATGAGTCACATTTCACTTGCCACAATTAATAAGGCCAAATTGTAAGGTAAGGTCACAGCATTTTGTCCATAGCTGGTTGGTGCTACCGTTACGTCAAATCTCCATCACTGCTTCATTCCTTTTTTTACCCTAGGATCTCATTTCAAATTTCAATTTACTACTTTACATAAAGATATTTAATTGTAGAAAAAAAAAAGAATAAAACTCAAATACATATGAAACTTTTGATTATAAATTTAGATCTAAGATACAACCTTGAAGTTGGTGAGGAAACTTAATTATAACTAAAAAAGGAAAAAAATATGTGCAAGTGAAACAAATAATTTCCTTCAAGAAAAAAATTAAATAAATAAAATTTTTGGAAATGTACAAAGATCCCCAGTCTCTAAGCCTGAGTCAACGGCCGGCTGGAGCAAGACTGAGATGCAAATCTAAGCCCAATGAATCATCAAAACTGGGCCCATCATCTCCCTTTGAAAACCTACTCAACAAGGGCCCATCAATGGCCCGTCCATGGTGGGCCCTGCCTTGCATCACTTGCGGGCCAAAGCCTAGACCCGAATCCCCCACACCACCCGCAAAAGGTACAACCGCTGGCACCCTCCCCACGCTACCTCCACCTCCACCAGTCGGAATCACACAACCATGTGAAACGTGGAAAGGTGGTGGCACACCTCGTGGCAAGTAAACCCATGATGGCCCCGCCGCAGCTGGAACTACAACAGGTGCAGGTGATGCTAAGAGATGTGGCGGAGGAGCAAAAGCAGAGATCATAGGATTTCTGGCTAATGAAACAGCTGCGCTACGAGTGGCTTGAAGCTGAGCACGTTTTAGCTGTTGCCTTTCCTTTTTATGAGCGTTTTGATGACCACCTAAGGCTTGAGAGTTGGCAAACTCACGGCAACAGTACTGACACTCGTATTTGCGGTCACCAGCAGCAGGGAAGCCTCCTGGCTCTGGGGACTCAGATAACGGAGCTTTGGTGGTGTTGGTGTTGGTGTTGGTGTTGGTGGTTGTGGTAGTGGTGCTGGATTCCGAAACGTCGTCGTCTTCTGAGACGTTGAAGCCGAAGAGTTTTAAACGTGAAGTGGCGCTGTTGGTTTTAGTATTAGCCTGGTAGTGCAGTTCTGCCATGTTGAGAAAAAAAGAAAGAGAGAAAAGACGGAGAGAAATGAAGAAACGTAGGTAATGTGATGTAAGAAAAGAGTTGCATGTGTGGGGGTATATATAGAGGATAAAAAGGGTTTGTAAATGTGCAAGAGTAAAATGTGAGAGAGAAAGATTTCAGATATCCACAACAGTGGCAGGGGAAAGGGCGAGTATAAGGGAACACGACCCAAGAACAATTGGGGGACCCAAGTGGATTGCACTTTGTCTCCTACTATAGCTATTTCTCTCTCTGCTGCCTTAAAATAATTAGAAACTTGCATAGATTTTTTGTTCTTTGTTTGTTTATATAGCTGGTATTTGCTTATAATATAATATAGTCATAGATCAAGAATAAAATGATTGAGTTTGTCCATGCTTTAGATAAATATTGGTTTCAGAAAAATGACGAGCGTTTGACAAAACCGGTATCAAAAAGTTCAATTGAGAGATACGTCTTAATTCAATTTCTTTATTATTATGTTTTTGGTTGAGAACAAGATGCAATTAGGTTTGAAAACAGACAGAAGGGGGTCTTGATCCGGACCACTTTGGTTGGAATTTCTGTAGATGAATGGCTTTTAAGTTAAAATGGCCAATCAGAAGCTAACAAAGTTGTTTGCAAACATTGTTGGGTTAATGGAGGCCCCAATAATGTGCTTACTTGACACGTACAATTCCACATAGCTGGTAATCTCAAGTGAGGTCTAGGCTCTAGCTACTAGCTACTAGCTACTAGCTACGTCGATACCTGTGAGTGGTGGGCATCAAACATTCAAAAGCTTTCGTTTTTTAATTAACAAAACAAGTAGTAACTGATAAAGTTACCATAATTTGCATTTGTTAAATTTTAAATTAAAAATTTCTACGTACAATTAATTAATTAATTAATTTTAAGTTCAAATTCTGTTATTATCCTTTCTAAATGTGTTACATAACAAGTTTTTTTTTTACATTCATACATGATAAAATTTTGCTAGAAGTAATTTTATTTTATATAATTAAATTTCCAAAATTTTAAACATTTTTATCAAAATTGAATCTTAACTTAAGCTTGGATTATACTATGTTTTTGGTACAATATGATTGTATTTTTTGTGTTACTAATTAAATTCAAATGTGAATTTAAATAAAATTTATTTAGTATAAAATTTTTATTAAATTTTTGTCAATTTTAATTATAACAAATTTTTTAATCATAATTATAATAATTATTATTATTATTTTTTTTAATATAATCAAAATTAATCTTATAATATATACAAATAAATTCTTAACTAATTGATTTTAAATTCAACGTGTAACAAAAATTCCATTTGACATGATGGGACATGTTGGAAAACTGGGAAGTTACTGTAATCAGCATGATCTTCAAAGTTTCTTTCTTTTATTAATTAACAAAACTGTGTTATAGTCATGGAAAAGTTAGTGGAACGATCTCCAATGAGACGCCGTGATGCCCATCTCTTTGTTCCCTAACAAATCTCTGCTACAAAAATGCCCAATTCCCCTTACTCTCGCTTCTTTTATTCTTCTTCTTTTGTTTTTATTTGTTTTATTTCTCTCTCTCCCGCACTTCACTTCAGCTCAATCTCAGGAGCCGACACCATCACCCACCACCACTCTCGCCCCCCAATCTCTCTATCTAAAAAGTCAAACCATGTATACACACATATATGTGTAGCACAACTTAGCAACGGCATATCCCAAAGTTAACACCCAAAAGGGCAAATGAAAAAACATTAATTTACGCATATGGTAACGTGATACGCATGTTTCACATTAGATAAAACTTTATATTCTGGTTAGTATTAGGGTCTTCTTTGGGTATGAATATATATATGTAGAGGCAACCATGGGAAACTCAAGCTTGAGAGTGGAAGAAGTGTGGATGGAAATGGGATGTTGGGAATATTCAGGTGTTTACAACTAGACGGTGAAGGAGGGGGGGGGGGGGACCATGTTTACGTGTTGATGATGAATAATTGTTTAGGATGGATGTTTGCGTGATTGACGTTGAAATCTATATTTCTATATGCTTTTTCTTTCTTTGCCACATATCTCTCCGAATCTTAACAACTAAGAGAGGTAAAAAAAAAAAAAAGAGAATGATTAATATGTGTATTGTTATTCAAACAAAAGCTCTTACCAAGTCTTGGTTACAACTCCAAATATGGCCCACCTTTGTCTGATACCCTTTCTCATGATGTGTGTTCCGTTCCAATATTCAAACGCCTCTGTCACTTTTGTCCGTTTTTCATACAAGATGATTACTTTTCTCATCTCACCATAACCTTTTGCTCCAATGCTCATGCTCCGTTTCAACCGTTTGATCCCATAATTTATCATGACTGTTACTTATACGATTATCAACGTGTACCTATTCTTCTATACTTTCAACATATACTGCACACTGAGCGGATCAAATTATTTGAAAGTTTCTTTACTCAAACCATAAATTTATATATATATATATATATATCAGTACATTTTGGTTCGGTGATAAAAATCTTATATTTTATCATTTAATGAAAAATTGAGTTTGAACTTTTTTAGAAATTAAAAAAAAAATAAAGAAAAGAATTATAAACCTATATGTATATGAAGCTCGACTTTATTCTTTTACAAGTAATGTTAGGTTCTTTCAAACGACAATTTTCTTGCGGATTACTGTAAGCAGGTAAGAGATGGGATGGTCATGAATATATGTATTTATGTGGGACCTGATTTGCTTTAAGTCCACTATATATAAATGATATTTATATATAGGAGACCTGAAATTATTATGGACATAATCTCCATTAGTTTAGAAAAAACTTGTCATTATTAAACCTAACCACCTTTTTACTTTATTATTATGTGGATCCAATGATTTGTTTTCCCTTTGGGTCTTTCCTGGGAGGGTCAATTAAAAAGAAAAACAAAAGGAAGTTGGTCTCACTCAGAAAGTAAATGTGTTGTGAAGTGACCTCAAACAAATGTGAGTAGTCATACTCATAACGAGTTCGCATAGGATTGTTGGGTACAAGTGTTGTAGCCCAAGAAAAGTTTGTGCTAGTTCTTAGGCTTTCACTCGATTTTTGATTTGTCTTTCATTTAGTAAGGCATTTTTTTCAATGGACACATGGTGGCGAGTCTGTACCAAGGCTTTCATTAAATTGCACTCCCAAGTCCCAAATAGTATATAATATAAGTTGATTTTGTTGATAACTTTCAGCACATATATACATGTCAAATTATTGAACTAGAAATATAAGAGCAAATTACCAAGCCCTAATTGAAAGTACCCTTTTTTCCCAACATAACCCAATTGAATAGACCCATACCAAACTCTAACATAGTAAGTAGTTTAGGTATACATAAGTCGAAACACAAGCATGATGGGTAGAAGAGGAGAAGAAAGAATTAATGGCTAATACATTTGATACATCAATTGTTTGTTAGACAAAGACATAGACACAAGGTTTTCTCCACTAATGGTGGATAAAACATGTGAGGTTGCATCCAAATTCCGATTGGTGCAAACCATGGTAGGACCCGCCCACGTTGGCGCATGTTTGGGACCACATGGTCAAGTTTTTTTGGCATTGACTCCACACGAACGAAAACAGTGCCTAGCTCTGAACTTGGGGGGAGGGGGGTGGGGACAATTTTAAGTAAAGGATGGTGAAAGAATTGTCCAATCAAAGAATTCACAATCCCGTTGATTAATAAACAACTGTCTTCTTAAACGGTGTTTGTCATTGTTGCAGTGGCTTCCACCATCTTCCTATAAAATACACATTTTAAGAAGGCTTAATCATGCTTTATTTTCTTTGTTGTTGATTGAAGGGATGCTGATATTATCATTCTAAGATCACCCGAATCAACAGGTGTGGCCCACTTAATTTATGCTCATCAAGGAAAATTAACCAATGGTTTCGAAATATACCAAAAAACTAGTATTAAAAGACAAAACATTATTTGAGACATGATCCTCTATCATATTACAAACCCCATTAACTTTCTAATCATCTTTTGTTTCTTTTTGCAACCATTGCTTTTGGAAGGATCCAAAAAGGATGTTATAGAAAGATATCCCCAAAATGTGACTTGGTTTTCAAGTTGGATCCCCTTATATGGATATGTTCAATGCACTTTTAAGCAAAATCCCAAGCAATGTGGGTGCGACTCAAAAATAAAACCCCTCCATGTATTCCAAGTGTCACTACCTACTTCTCTTTTAAAATATAAAAAGGTGAGAGGTTGGGTGGAGTTAGCTTTAAGTCATGTGATGAAGTGACCCCTTTCTCTCTCCTTCCCTCCCTCTCTATATAATTGAATTAATTAATCACCTTATCATGTGTTAAGTTAGTAAATACTAATACAAATTTGACATGGAGCTAAACCTAGATTATTACAAGTCTAAAACGTCTCTGCATATATATAAATAATTCTTTTTACATACAAAATCAAATTTTAAAAATAAAAAATCTAAAATTAATTAATTTCACTTTTTAAAAATAATCGCATTAATCAAGATAAAAAGTTTCCCTTTGGGAGAGAGGGAAGGGATTTTAGGTCAATCAATGAGACAAAATAAATATGCTTTGGTTGCTAATAAAGTGAGACACTTAGACGGCTGACAGAAGATGAAGCACAACCCACATAACATCTAACCTGCAGACACTGAGACTTTGGGAGGGGACATATGCACATGCCACTACAAAAAAAAAATTATTTCTTTTTCAGTAAAATGATAAATCGTTTCGTTGGATTCCAGATTTGTAAAATATGTACACAAAAACTCATCACATGAGAAGAAGTCTGCTAGCAATTGAGCACTGCAACTCATCACATACTTTTGACTAAACAGTGGAGTCCCCATTTGTAGTTAATTATTTATGAAGGTGAGAGACTTAGTCTGAGACAATCATATATTTCCCTCATCTAATCTACATGGCGATGCTTATTACAAAGAACAAGTCTTTGAGTCATGGGAGAATTTGTCTGCAGGGAAAATCCAAGCGGAGATGCAAAGGGCCTCAAGCTATAAACTACAAGTGGGCTTTGATTCAAACAAAGGTCAGGACAAACTGTTATTGATTATCAAATACAGTTCAGTAAGTAGCGAGTGTGCGTCAAGTCATCCCTCAATTTTAATACTTTCTAAAGTCTGTCAACTATTGTTTCTTTTTTTTTTTTTTTTTTTTGTCCACTTCAGCCTAAACTACGTGTTGATATGATCTTTTAGATTAAGGATGTAATCGAATCGAGTCGAGTTAATACAGTGAGAAGTTCGAGCTCGAGTTCAGCTCTTAACTCGATGTTCGATACTTGGTTCGAATTTATTTTTCTAGTTCGAACTTGATTTGTGATCAAAATCGAGCTACTTGAATTCGTTTGATTAAGTTTAATTAATATGTTAAAATAAATTTGATTTTTATATTTGATAAGAGTGCGATTATTTATGCTCGAATTTGAGATATTTTATTAATTAAAATAATAAAAAAAATTTAAATATAAAAATTTGATTAAGCTCACGAATTACTCGAATCGGGTATAAAAATACTCAAATTTAACTCAATCGATAAATCGAACTACTCGAGCTCGAACTCGATTCGATAATAATCGAATCGAATTCGAATTTTATTCGAATCGAATCGAATTCGAATTTTATTCGAATCGAATCCTATTAACTTACGAGTACTAATGTATCATTTACATCCTATTTCAAACAGATAATCTGAGATGTTATTTGAAAACGGATCCTTAGAAGTTAAATTAATCTATTTATTTACTATGATTTCTATCCGTGTTTAAGGTTTAAATCAATATGCTTCGAAATTTCTATTTTTTTATACATTCAATCATTTCTTTTATCTTCATAAAACATTCATAGATATAGTAACAAAAATGAAATGCTCATATTGTAGTAAGGAAATGATAATAATTGCAGGTGATAAAATCATAAACTACACATTGAACTAGGGAAATTATAATAATCAGAGTAGATGAATTGTTAAAACGCCCCTGCTTCAGACATGAAACAAATGGTTGAATTTCTTCAAACGTGATAGTCATATAATTTAAAAATATAAAAATAATATAATTTAAAATTTTGAAAGAAATTATACATAAATGTATCAAATATTGAAAAAATATATTTTATATTTAACATATAAATATAAATTATAATAAAAAAATTTTATATTTTAAATATTTTGATATAAAATAAACAAACCCGAATATTCGATGTAAAAGTTCCAATATCCAATCACCCATCCTTCACTTTCTATGCCGGCGAAAAAGACAAGTAGCTTTGTACTCAATGTGAATATGTACTTGACACATTTTTTACAATTAAAAAGCCAGGCAGATGTACGTGTCTACAAGGTTAAAACGTTTATGTTATTTGTCAAATTATTTTTAGGTAATTAGGCCACACAGAGAGAGAGAGAGAGAGAGAGATTTTGAAGGAGCCAAGTTGCAGGAAAACAAAATTATTTATTTTCAAAAAGATTAAGACACAAACGGCTGCCCAAAGGACCAGTAGATGGGAGTTATCACTTGATAAGTATACAAAAAACTTACATCCATATCATCACGTTGACAGGACCATTACTGCAACATGACATATCGAACAACCTTTGTGGAGAGCCATAGACAGGAGAAGAATTGATTGAATAAATAATACAAGGACAAGTATTAGAAGGCAGCAGATTGCTGGCAAATATTTCCAACCTTTCTTGTAAAACAAGAACCTAACTAAATACCTTTTCAACCAAGCTTTTTATCAGATCCCTTCAGATTCAAATTGAACCATTTCTTTTTCCCTGATTTATCCTTCCCATCCGAGTTTCCATCTTCCAATGGACTCTCGTTCTCACCAGGAACTTTGCTAGTACTTCCATTACTTAAATTAACACCAATACTGTTGGGTGCTTTTGTTACGGTGAATGAGGCATGGATACTGTCACGCTGTTTCAGCAGCTCGTCTACCTGTGTTATAGATGCCAAAATCTGACTCAAATAACCAATACATTTTATACGGCTCTGGTTACAGTTTTGATCATAATACATTTCAAGAATGAAGTGAATCCCAATAAGCAATTACTCTTTTAGCAATATCTTCTACAGCCATTTATTAAATAGTATAAGGCATAAGTTCATGTGATTGTGTATGAGCAGGTGCATTAAATGTGCATACATACAGATTGACATATCCTTATATATGCACGCAGTTGCTTGTCAAATTGAAAGATTGCATAAATGCAGGAAAAACAGTATGACTGCAAGATAAGAAAAAAATTGCAGAGAACCAAGGTTTCAAAACATACAGACTGCTTTTCTTGGCTGTAGTGGTTGGTCACTTCTTGAAAGCGTGCCAATGCCTACAAAATATCCCACCAGAATTGTAAGATCAAATGTGTACAACTCATACTTATAACAAGCATTAAATAGAGCATAGATGGATTAATACTTTTCTGTATTCTGTTTCGAATTGGCGCAACTCATTTCTCTTTAGTAAAATCTGAGCTTCGATATCCTTAAGCTTCTCCGTGGTATCCTCATATGACTTTGCACAAAGTGCCTCAATTGTGTAAGTAGCAGTCTTGAAAAAATTATCCCCTGAGAAAAATCAGCCAAACCAGTAAAACACAAATACTCAAAACATACTTTTAACAAAATTAACGGACAAAACTAACAGCTCCAACCATAAACAGCGAATATATGTGTGCCAGCTTTTAGTTCTGAAGCCTCACAAGGTTGAAGACCATCCAACCTTTTAAAGAAAGCAGATTCAGGGTCTTTAGCTATTGCTAACTGCACAAGACATGAATAAATCATCATTTCTTACCACAACAAAAAGCCAAACATCCAGTAGACACAAGGAAAATAAAGTAGGAAATAACAACTTCCATACCGCATTTACAGTGGAATCCATTCTGTATACTTGAAAATGCAAGAAATACATGCCAGCTGATGTCACCCTGCCTGTCTTCTCACTATCTTCCTGTACGGACAGCAAAATCATAAATAGAGAGTAATAAGCGTATGGATAAATGCCTAATTATTTCAGAAACTAAACTGCAAGTAACAACATATCCTTGAACTTCCAAGATAATGACAGAAAAGGGACAAATACATCATAGTGATGACCACAAGAGCTTTCGTTGCACAAACATTGAACCATTAGTATACCATCAAACAAATACCAGCTTTCACTGAACACAGAACTAGTATAACATTAAATGAACCATGCCAAAAAAAAAAGACAATCTGACTGAAAGTGTCAAAGGGAAAATTAAAGCCTCACGTACTTGGATAAAATTAAACTATTATTTGAGGTGGCAGAAATGAGGAATTGCCATTTTAACTATTAAATGTGCGCACACACCAAACAGATGCATGCAGATATTTGTCTTATATTATGACATGACTCATCATGGTTTATGCTGTGTATGACTTATATAATATACCAGCCGAGAATACCAGCTGGTTCAGATAAATTTTTCCATCTAGAATGTGAATCATTGGAATAGAGAGCAATAATGGCATAAAACCAAATACATGATTTCGCCAATATCATATGCACAGATAATATAATATAAACATACACAGACATAATAGAAAGTGATTCTAAAAATTTACTCCAAATGCACATATTCCAATCTAAAGTGTGCTACTTGAATTATACTTTTATTTTCAAGGGCTCAGTTGCGCATCCACAATTATTTAATGAACTAGAACATAGACATGAGAGACTATAATAAGAATAACCATTCTTCTAGAAAATACCCTCTACTGAGAATGAATGATGTTTTTTTAACCGTCCTCAAGGGATACCCTAATGGCTAGAACATGACACATCAACCAGGAGGTCTCAGGTTTGAAACTTGAGGAGGGGAGGATGGAGCTTATGGGATGGAAAAGGGCTACATCCTTCAGGATTTCAACATACCAAAAAGTCATTTTTGACAATTGAAACCCAAGTACTTATATTATATACACAAATCATAGAACAACACATTCAGAGACATAATAGAAAGCAATTCTAAAAATTAACTCTGAATGCACACATTCCAATCTAGATTTTGCTACTTAAATTGTACTTATTCTCAAGGGGCGGCGCAGTTGGGCATCCACAGTTACTTCACAAACTAGAACATAGATATAAGAGACTAATAAGAATAGCCATTCTTCCTGCAAAATACCCTATACTAAGATTTAATGATGTTTTTGGACTGTCATCAAGGGATACCCTAATGGCAAGAAAATGACACTTCAACCAGGAGGTCTCAGGTTTGAACCTTGAGGAGGGGAGGATGGAATTTATGGGCTACGTCCTTAAAGCTTTAAGACATACCAAAATGCCATTTTTCACAATTGAAATCCAAGTTTTATTCCACAAAAAGGAGATAAAATAAGTTGGGAAGCAATATTTGACAGATAATAGTAATCAGAAGTTCATTACCTTTTAATGCCAGATGAGACTGAAACAAATAAGCAATCCAATAAACATGACTCAAAGACAAAAGATAAAAAAAAGGTAATAATATTAGAAAAGGTTACACCCTTTTTTTCTTCCTTCCCATAGAATAACACAGAAAAAAAAAAAAGAAAAAACATATAGCATTCACTGCAACTTTTAATTATTATAGCTTAAGATCTCCTTTTTTCTCCATTCATGTTTGGCATGTCAAGAACCAAGTCATTTATCGTGAAACCCACACCTGTGAATGGTGATGAGATGTATCAAAAGTGGTGGACAAAAAAGTAATAGAGAGGAGCCTAACCTGCTTATTGTAATTTTTACTTCTAATAGAAAAAGCCAGAAAAAAAAAGGCAAATGCCTTTTACGTTTCCAGAAGAAAAGTAAATATTTATAGTCTTGATACTCTATCAATATCTTATGGTAAAATGCATGATTTGTCTCTAACCTTTTAAAAATCATTTTGATCCCTAAACTATTTTCAAGGGTTTCACTGAAGCTGGTTTCAAATCCTTGCCTTCTTTCTGATGTCTATAACAATCTTATTTCCTTTTTATTTTTCTCCTGTTCTTGATCTTCTCTATATCTTCCCAAACCAAAAAACTTCCTCATTTTACTATTATCCCTCATTTTTTCAGTCAGTTTGTGGATTGCGTTGTGTCAATTTCGTGTTCACATAACCCAGCAATCACCCATTGTTGTGTCTGTATTTACTTTCTTCATTAGGTGTTTGATTTGGCTCACTTTCTTCATTGCTGAAACTGAATTACCAATACTGTATCAGATGCATATTCTGCACCTGAATCCATATTTGTGTAGTAGGAAACTTAAAGAACAATTGTCCTTATTTCTTCTTATTCTATCTACAGTGAAGGAGTACATCTAAATAAATAGGAACAGTGAAGTTCCTTATTAGGTAACAACTTACATGAAACAGTAAACAAAAAATAATAAAAGGAAAGAGAATTATTCTATTCTAAAATAGAAACAAATCCCTAAAAACTTGACAATCAAAATAGTTGACTAAATCAGAAGAGTAAATGAGAAATATTCCCAAAATAAATTAGGAAATCAAGCTGCACTAATGGAGGAGAATCAAATTTCTACACTCCCCCTCAAGTTGAGTTATGAATGTTAATCATACTCAACTTGGATTTCAATCCGTAAAAAATGCTTATAGGAAAAGCTTTAGTCAGGATATCTGCAATTTGTGAGCTTGTAGGGATATAGGCCAGTTTGACCGACCCGTTTTCTATCTTTTCCTTATGAAATGTTGGTCCAGTTCTATGTGCTTGGTCCTATCATGATAAACAGGATTTTTGGCAATACTTATAATAGCCTTATTGTCACAAAACAATGTCATAGATGTCACAGTCTGAACTTTTAATTCTCCAAGTAACCCCATCAGCCAAATTCCTTCACAAATGCCATGGGACATTGCTCTAAACTCAGCCTCTGCACTACTCCTAGCTACAACAGCTTGCTTTTAACTTCTCCAAGTGACCAAATTGCCCCAAACATAAGTGCAATATCCAGTAGTGGACCTTCTATCTGTTACTGATCCAGCCCAATGAGCATCTGTGTACACCTCGATTGCCTGTCCATTGACTTTTTAAAATATAAACCTTCACCAAGACTTTTCTTTAAGTACTATAGGATGCAATGAACAACTTTAAGATGCTCCTTGGTTGGATTATTCATGTATCTACTCACCATCACTACCGCAAACCCAATATCAGGTCGCTTTTAGGAGAGGTAAATAAGCTTCCCAAATAGTCTTTGGTATCACCCTTTGTCCGTTAAAGAGCTTCCATTTTCACTTCCAATTTTATTAGTTGAGTCCATGGGTGTATCGACAGGTTTGCATCCAATCATGCCGGTTTCTTTGAGTAGATCAAGTACATACTTACACTAAGACACTGATATTCCATTATTAGACCAAGCCATTTCCATCCCAAGGAAATATTTTAGAAATCCCAAGTCCTTTATTTCAAACTCCTTTGCAAAAATTTCTTCAAATCATCTATTCCTTCCTTGTGGTCTCCGATGATTATGATATCATCCACATAAACAATAAGAATAACTCTTTTTCCTTCATTAGTGAACTTAACAAACAATGGTCAGATTGACATTGAAGGAATCCATACCTCTTCATTGCCTTGGTCAACCATTCAAATCAAGCCCGAGGAAATTGTTTAAGTTCATACAAAGATTTTCTAAGTTTGCACACTTTGCCCATGTTGTCTCGCCTTTTGAAACTAGGGGGAATTTCCATATAGACATCATCCTCCAAGTCACCATTTAAGAATGCATTCTTGATATCAAGTTGGTGGAGAGGCCAATCCAAGTTGGTTGCTAGTGACAATAAAACTCTAATTTAATTGAGTTTGGCTACAGGAGCAAATGTCTCCTCATAGTCTATCCCATAGGATTGAGTGAACCCATTTGCAACAAGTTTAGCTTTGAACCTATTTATACTTCCATAGGATTGAGTGAAATTTCCATGTCCCATTTTTCTCTAGCACCTTGATTTCTTTAAGAACTACTGCCTTCCAATTTGGTTCATTGAAGGCTTCCTAAATATTTTTTGGAATTTGCACATTGTCAAGGTTAGTAGTAAAGGCTCAAAAGTTTGGATTTAACCTGTCATATGAGATGTACTTGCAGATAGGATACCGAATGCATGATCTCACAATTTTTCTTAATGCAATAGGAATGTCAAGGTCACCAACTGGCTCACAAGTTTCAATTTCATATTCAATAAGGACATTACTTGTGTTAGTTTCACATTCTTGGAGACTCAGATCAGGTTGATTTTTAGCGCTAGGCTACGTACAGTTGTCCACTTCTTCCTGTGGTTTTTGCTTCCTTGAGTAGACTATCAATTCTTTTGTTTTTTCTTGCATAACCTTAGGGTTTGAAGACTCGAGAGTTGTCGGAACAGGTTGGGTTTCAGAATCTGCATGGCTAATAGGTTGGGTAGGTTGAAAATCTAATTTTGAAGGGACTAATTAGGAATCTGGTTGGGAATCTAGTTTTAAAGGGTTGGTTGGCAAATTGGCAAATCAACAGCTAAGAATTGATATTCTTAAGTGGTATTCTCCCCCTGATTATCATTCTTGCTGTAGTATGAAAGGTTCTCAAAGAAGGTGACATCCATAAAGCTATAGAATTTTTTTGTGATAGGTGAGTAACACCTATAGCCCTTTTGGTTTGGGTAATAACCAAGATATATTTTAAGGCTTTGGGATCAAGCTTGCTGTGATTTTGTTGGCTAATATGAACAAAGGCAATGCAGCCAAAGAGTTTGATGGGAATGGAAGAGATCAATCAAGTTTATAGGTAGCAAGCAATGAGAGTTTGACAAGGTATTATAAAGCCAAGAACTCGAGAAGGCATTCGGTTAACCAAAAAAGTTGTAGTGAGAACAACTTCTCCCCAAAAATATTTAGGCACATTGGAAGTCAACAAGAGGGATCTAGTCACTTCTATCAAATTTTTGTTTTTGCATTTGGCAACTCCATTTTGCTGTGGAGTGTCAACGCAAGAGCTTTGATGAATAATGACATGCTTGGTGAGGTATGGGCCGAGAATAGAGTTAAAATATTCCCTATCAGTTTTTAGGACTTGGATTTTGGCCTGGACTTGGGTTTGTACCATGCTATTGAAGTTTTGAAAGATTTGGCTAACCTCGGATTTTTCTTTCATAAGGAACACCCAAGTGAGTCGAGTATGATCATCGATGAATGTAACAAATCACCTAGAACCTGTGATATTATTAACTCTTGACAGTCCCCAAATGTCACTATGAATCATTAAGAAAAACTGGGATAATTTATAGGAAAGGCTAGGATAAGTATTTCGAGTGTGCATGGAAAGTTGACAAATTTCACACTAAAAATCTTTAGAGATGTTATTGAATAATGAGGAAAATAGCTTTTTTAGGTATGGAATATTTGGATGTCCTAATCTATATGCCATAACATGATAAGGTCATCCTTACTAGTACTGGAGGCTAAGGCTATACAAAAGTTTTATGGTCTCTCAAGTGCATCATCTTGAAGAAGGTAGAGCCCTACACACATCATAGTACTGCCAATAATCCTCTCCGAGCCCAATTCCTGAAATTCACACAAGTTGGGAAAAAATTTAGTGACACAACATCTATCCTTAATAAGCTTACTGATAAAAAATAGGTTACAGCTTAAATTAGGGACAAGGAGGACAGAGTTTAGTGTTATGTCCTTTGAAACTACAATAGAACTTGTTCCTGCCACCTTTGAGAGAGATGCATCAGCAAGTTTCACAACAAAACTACCATAGCAAGGTCTATATGTTGAATAAAGATGCATCTCTAGTCATGTGATCTGCTGCTCCTGAATCAACAATTCAAGATTGTACATTTCCCCGTTGAACACATAAGGAGCTTAGGAAATTACCTTTTTGTGCTAGTAAACTAGTTCCAAAGGTTGCAGACTTGTTTTGAAGGGTTTGTTAGAGCATCACCTCTTTGAGACTTTTCTTATGCCATACCTTTGCAGAAGAAGAGTTCTTACTCCTACTAGCCATAATGGAAACTCGTGTGACTACAGCCTAATGGGTCAGGCCGACTTGCTCTAATACCATGTAGGAAACCTAAAGAACAATTGTCCTTATTTCTTCTTATTCTATCTACAATGAAGGAGTACATCTAAATAAATAGGAATAGGGAATTTCCTTATTAGGAAACAACTTACATGAAACAGAAAACAAAAAATAATAAAAGGAAGGAGAATTATTCTATTCTAAAATAGAAACAAATCCTAAAAACTTGACAATCAGAATAGTGGACTAAATCAAAAGTGTAAATGAAAAATACTCACAAAATAAATTAGGAAATCAAATTGCACTAATGTAGGAGAATCAGATCTGCACTAATGTAGGAGAATTAGATTTCTACATGTGTAACCGATGTATGGTGGTGTAAAATGCTGAGTCCATGTAACAGAGTTCCTAACCTCTATCACTCCATTTAATTCCTATGTCTTTAAATTAGTACAAGTTTGAGAAAAATTAACGAAAAAGGCTTTCATGGTACTAATCTTTTTTGACATTTGGACACTTTTGTTTAGCATTATTAGCATCTTTTTTTTCCTTTACTTAAGGACTAAATTGTAACATGTAAAGAGCTTAGAGACACAAAATAAAACTTCATTAAAACCTTAGTAACCTTAGTATTATGAGATTCTAAATTAATTCATTTTTAATATCTTTATCAATAAAAGAATTTATTTTCTCAGTTTTTAAGAAAGAAAACAGCAAAAATGCTTCTAGCATGCTTTATGGAAATTTTCCAAAAATCAGAAAAGTGCTTTTTAGAAGGTAAACCTTTTTATTTTGTTCTTTAAAAAAAGAAGCATCACCAAATCCTGCTGTCATAACTTGTAATATAACTGTATGTTTCCTCATTTCCTTTCAAAACCTACCATACGATTATTTGTCCACCAAAGAATTGGGGAAGAGAAAGTACAGAAAAAATTACTCCCCCCCCCCCCCACCCCAAAATATAAAAAAAGAATATTCATCTTTAAAAAAAAGAAAGCATCACCAAATCCTGCTGTCATAATTTGTAATATAACTGTATGTTTCCTCATTTCCTTTCAAAACCTACCATACGATAATTTGTCCACCAAAGAATTGGGGAAGAGAAAGTACAGAAAAAATTACTCCCCCACCCCCCCCCCCCCCCCCAAAATATAAAAAAAGAATTTTCATCTATTCACCCCCAATATAAGAAAAGTAAACCCAGTCTAAGTTAAAACCATCCTACTCTGCGTGATGCATGCTAAGGGAAACAGATAAAGAAGTTGATTGAAAATAGCAGGACTTCAGAATTATACAATGAGTACAAATTTTATTTGCTGAAGATCGGGTAGTCAATAGAGAAAGAGATCAGACCAAACAATAACCTATCCAACCTGTTCAGACCATTAAACAACTATTATTTTTACAGGAAGGTTGTTAAGCTGAGGGCAGATAGGAAGGGGAAAAAAGAAGGAGGCCATGTAAGTGGGGAAGAGGAAGAGAATGGAATAAGTTAACTCCAGCCTCGCTAATTTTAAGCTTTTCCAAATTCCACTCTGACCAAAAGTCACAAAGGTTCAGATCAAAATATACCATCAGAGCTAACTTACTCATGATCGTGCACAGAATGCTAGCATGGGCAACAGCTAGTAATTTGTTTAAAAATCATTCACAATCTTTTCACTATCCTTCTCACTGAAGACAAAAAAAGTAATAAGGTAGCGATATATATTTTGTTTTTGTTTCTGTCACTTAAACTTCCCACCAAATTACTAGAAAGATATGGCAAAGACAATCACATGACAAATAAGAGAAGTAAAGCTTGAATTGGTTATCTTGACAATTCACACTTAAAGTCAAACATTTGTAGGTAAATCAACCTAATTGGAAAGAAAAAGATTCAAAGACAAGTGCTTAGTACCTGTAGGGCCAAGCCATAGCCACCATTGACATCTTGTTCAAAATAAAGTAACTGAAAATTTTACATTAAAGAAACAATGAGCTATTATATTATTTGGCATAGTGCCGCTTAGAAGAGATGCATGCCCATGCACACACACAGTAACACACAGCAAACAAGTAACATAGAGAGAAGTGATGAATTGGGGCACACAACCAAACAGTTCATAATCATTCTGAAAAGAATACAAGATAATTCAAAGTAACATTTCATAGATAACGTACCTTGAATTTGCTTTGTGCTGTTGAAGTTACCCTCACAACAATTCCAGCCTCAGCTTGTTCATCACTTATTGTTACACCAAAGAAGTGGGCACATTGCTTGTCTACCTGCAGCAAAATGCATGAGAATTTTGGAAAGGATCTGAAAGATTATGCTGCATCAGCTAAAAGGAAAGTAAGCACCTTTCCACTAACTGATGTTCCAATAGGAAGGGGTCTAACTGTCACAGTTCCATTAAGAGCTTCTTCAAGAACATTAGCTGAGATTGTAGTCTTGATGGGGACACCAAGCTTGCTAAAGATAAATATTCAAGAAGCAGGGTAAAAGTTAGAATAAGTGACTTGGAAATAACTAAATGTGGCATTAAACTTCCAATATTTCAATGGATATCTCACCTGAATAATGCTGCAAACATTGTATTAACAGTTCCCAGATTGGACAAATCAATCTCCATATCCATTGAATCTTCAACAGCCTTGTAACATTTGTTGAAAAAAGATAAAAACATTAGGTTTGACAACTTGCCATCATAAACGGGATAGCAGGTGGGAACTATTAACAAGAGAAAAGAAACAAAACAGGAGGAAACGAGTACAATCTTCAGTTGACATCATCAAGCAAATTTTACAAAGTAAAATAGTGCCATCAATGATAAACACAGATAAGTTCTTTAAATTTTAGTCAGTGATGCAACAATAATATTGTTGGAAAAGCAGGAGGAGCAGGCGACACTTAGGGAAATCAAACGACATGGGAATAGAGGATGTTATGTACCACAAGCTAGTAAATGTAGGTGATTTAGTACTTAATGCAGAGTAGTGTTACAGAGTATGTTACTCTGAAACAAGAAGGAAATGCATAATCTTGTCCTGTGTCATCAAGTCAGAGTTTCCAATTTGACGTTTTCCTAGATGATTTTGATATTAAGGTTTAATGATCCATAGTACTCCATAAGGAAAGGGGACTTAAGAGAATCAATGAAGCAAGTATACATAACAACCCGCTACATACCCATGTCATATTCAGATTCAACAAGGATACTTTACCAATATGGCCAGATACATAACATAACCCAAATCCCTATTTTTGATTAAGCCTCATCAAAAGACAAACATCACCAACAGCCTCATTAATTGCAAATCTTTGTACCAATCAAATCTGACATTAATAGCTGCCAAGCTATCATGTTACCTAACATGTCCATGATACATTACAATGGCATCAATAACGCCATGTCAAAGCTTTGGCAAAGGGTATTTGCTACTAATTTTGATGTCATAATTCCTTTGGAGATCCAATTTACAAGAATCAGCCTCTAAAGGTTCTATACAATCAGTTTACATTTGTATTGAAATATCAAAATGTGTTACTTTAAAACTAATTCATGATTTGGAAGATAAAACTGATGAAGCCTCTATGCACTTAAGGGGCTAATTTCTTTGAGAAATAGATGCAGTTTTGAGAATTGGCATCCTTTAGTACTTTATAAATACAGTGATCCTAAAAATTACTCGTTTTAAACTGAGAAAACACTTGACAATGGAAAGTCAAGATCAATTAGGGCAAATGCAGAGGTTTTTAGCTTCCTTTTCAACCTCACAATCTCAATGTTATTCCTCCAAAATGCTTGCAGAAAACATTTCAGTTGTAACTACAAAAGTTGTGGGAATTAAATAATTTAAGGCTGATAATGAAGAAGTCTAAATTTTAACCAAGTCAGTAATTCTTGAGGTGAAAGACAACAACAATGCAAAAAAAAATGATTGAGCACTGATGAATCAAATGGTCGAAGCAAGAGGTGAAGGCTCACAAATAAATACAATCAAATATGATCTGTCTAAACAGCAAGTTGATTTAGAAGCTGGAAATGTTGAGATTGTGCAAGTAGGATCTAAAGATTATACATATGTGAGACAAGATCGTGACTATAAAAGGATTAAATTATTTAAAGATTTTTTTTAATAATTTTATACATGTTATAGGTTTGATAGTAAATTGTTGTTAGTATTTAAGGAATTATTAGGCCATTTAAGGGACGTTTGATTCGGGTAAAGGTAAGATTCCTGATCAAAATCTTACTTTTTGTAATTTGATTCTTTAGTTTAATTCATGGGATGTAATTCCTGAGATTTTCTAAGATTTTCAACAATGTTAAGAAAAGGGAAAGTAAGGAGAACTAAAAGCTCTCTTCCCGGAGGTTTTTTTTTTATTCTGGAAGGAAAGTAAAATTTTTTTCCTATTTGCCCTCAATAGCATTTTCGCATTATATAGACAACGTTATTTACCTTAGAAACGTAGTAATTTTTTTTATAAAATATTATGAAATAATTTTTTCTTAATATATTTTAAATAGAAATCATGTTTTTGAGATTAAAAATAGTCTTTGTTACACTTTTAACAAAGACCGCTCTTTTAAGATTAAAAACACGATCTTTTTTGAAAATATATTATGAAAAAAAATTATATTTTGTGTTTTATATTTTGCTTGCTGATATATTATGAGAAAAATTATTTGTCAAACTTTCATAGTTTTAACAAAGACTACTTTTAGATAAAAAGACGTAGCCTTTGTTAACAAACACTACGTTTTTTTGTAAAAAATGTAATCTTTTTGATATTTTTAACAAAGATATAGTTCTATTAAAATCCCTGACAAAAGCTATGATTAAAAGAACGATTTTTGTTGAAATATGAAAAAAATTATTTTTAAGAATTCAAAAAAGGCAATGTTTCTAAGATAAAAAAAAAAAAAGTGATCTTTGTAAAAAATATAAAAAAAATTATTTTTTAGAATTCAGCATAGACGACATTTCTAAAATAAGAAACGCAATCTTTGTTAAAAATATGAAAAAAAATTATTTTTCAGAATTCAATACAGACTGTTTTAAAGATAAAAACACAATCTTTGTCGAAAATATGAAAAATTTTATTTTTCAAAATTCTTTAATATATTTTGGGAAATATGTAGTTGAAAATAAGACATGTTATTCACGTGTCATGTGTTATTCACATGTGACGTTTTATGAATATCACATATTATTCACATATAATCATGGATAATATAGTAAAAGACTTTATTACGTAATCTTACATTCCTCTAAACCAAACACAAAAATCTTACATTCCTAGGTCAAAAAAACCCAAGAACCACACATTTCCCTTCAATATCACTTCCCCTACCAGAATCTAAGATTTCATGAACCAAACGCCCCTTTAAGGTTTGTATTTGGTATCTTGTCTTAAAGCTAGAACTCATAGAGTAGCCTATAAGTACCTTTTATTTCAGTTTAAAGCAGCTTTGTTCAATGAAATATTATGACTAGTGATTTGAGATTCAAGTGTTAAGATTCCCTCTTGATTGTTTCTCTTGTTCTTCCCTACTCTTTTTATCTTCCCTTCATTTCCTTCTTCCTCCCCTTTCCAAGAGAGAGAGAGTGTGAGATTATCCACTGTTAAAATTAAAACTTTCGAAAAAACATGCACTTGTCACATACTATCCATTTTGGGTAGGTAAAATAGAAAGAAACTGGGCATAATTGAACTGCCCATTTTGATCCCATAACATGCTATGGCAGGCAACCATAATATAACTATCTACCATATAACGCAGAAACTTCCATTTTCACAATCAGACCTAACGAAACAGAATTCTTCCAAGACATCCTAAAGAAGCGTAAAATAGAAAGAAACCGGGCATAATTGAACTGCCCATTTTGATCCCATAACATGCTATGGCGACCATAATATAACTATCTGCCATATAACGCAGAAACTTCCATTTTCACAATCAGACCTAACAAATCAGTATTCTTCCAAGACATCCTAAAGAAGGGTAAAAACCTAGGAAGCACCGACACCCCAATTACCTCCGCGTACTAGTGTCAAATACATGTCCGACATAGGCACTCCTCAGACACGGCAAAATACGTATTTGATATGCAAGAATATGACAAGAATAAAAATATAAATAACATGATTAAGACACGGTCAGCACATCTCTGAACATGGACAGAGACTGATAGATGGGTTTTGTTTCAAATCTTAAATCCAGAATTTTGGGGGAAAAAAAAAACAAAAGGCTTCTTCAACCCATCAACAAAACTCGAATTAGAGCAAAAACCCTGGCAACCCAAAATTAAAATTAATATTTTGAACCTAAGAAGACATTAAATCAAGAGAAAGAACATATAAAGAAGAATAAAAAGAAACACCAAGCTACCAGTGACTTCTTCAAAGACAATGGTCACCGATTGCTTAGGAATTCTGCTTGCTTCTCTCTAAAAACTCACTTATTCTTTCTTTAACTTTTTAAAATTTAAAGTTATTGTCGAATATGCAAAAGATTCAATTCTATAACCAGCACGTGATAATCACATGCTAACTTGTGAACATGGATTGATGTAGGTTGGGCTCTTAAAAAAAGTTTTTATGGACAAATAATTTGGACTCTTTTTTTTTTAAAAAAATTCTTTTATGAATTGAAATAATTCGGACCCTTAAATTTCTTTATATAAATATAATTATAATTCTCGTAGAAATATCAGGATCTTGTTATAAAATCTTAACTGTTAAGTATTAACATATTTGGACTTTTAGGTGATTAGGTTGTTTGGTAGATATGAAGTTTAAATTTTAAAATTTAAATTTTAGTCTATTTAAATCCTTGTAATTCTCATGTTAATCAATAAGAAGTAATCTTCTCTTTCTCCTCTATTTTGTTCTATTTTGTTTATATGGTATCAGAGCATAGGCATTTCACTTGAAAACCATGATGGTCAAAACAGCCATGATCGGAGAAAAGGGCACCCCATCCGCAAGTGTTGTTAGTGGAGGTGTTTTTGCCGTAAAAATTAATGGATTTGAAAATCCATCTGTCCAATTGACCGTTCACAAACTAAACGGCAAAAATTATCTAGAATGGGCGCAATCAATGAAGCTCATGATTGTTGGCAAGGGAAAGCTCAGCCACTTGACAAGTGAGGTGAAGAAACCAGTTAGTAATGACCCAACATTGAAGACATGGAGATCTGAGAATTCTTTAGTGATTGCATGGCTTGTAAATTCCATGGAGCCAATAATCGGAAAAGCCTATTTGTTTTTGCCAACTGCGAGAGAAGTATGGGAAGTAGTTCGAGAAACATACTCAGATTTGGAAAACTCATCTCAAATATTTGAGTTGAAGACTAAACTGTGGCATTCTAAACAAAATGATCGAGAGGTGATAGAATATTACAATGAGATGAGAGAATTGTGGCAAGAGCAGGACTTGTGTTATGAAAAAGATTGGGAGTGTGCAAATGATAGTGTAAAATACATGAAGAGGATGGAAAATGATAGAGTATACATTTTTTTGGCAAGGCTAAAAAAGAACCTAGATGAGGTCAGAGGCCGAATTCTTGGCAGGAAACCACTACCAACTCTTCGTGAAGTGTTTGCTGAAAAAGAGAAGAAGGCCGACAAAAAGTGATGTTGGGAAAGAATAACCAACCTACTACTGAAGCTTCTACTCTCGCCACTACGACTCAATCTTATAATCAATCTAGACAAACAAGGCAGAATAAAAAAAGGGAGAAAGTGTGGTGTGATCATTGCCACAAGCCACGACACACAAGAGATACATGTTGGGAATTACATGGGAAACCATAGAATTGGAAGCCAAGATCGTCCAACCGTGAATCAAGAGCATTTCAAATAGGTGTCGAGGAGCAAGTAGGAGCCTCAGAGACATCTCTTTTCAGTAAGGAACAGTTAGACCAATTGTATAAACTATTTCAATCCACACAATTCTCGAACAATGTCTCTTCCTCTTGTTCTTTAGCTCAAAAAAGTAATCATCTTCAAGCTATTACTTTTAATGTGTCCTCCATTACTAGCTATCCATGGATAATCGATTTTGGTGCAACAGACCATATGATAGGTTGTTCTAAACTATTTTTTTCTTATAGGCCGTGTGCAGGAAATCAAAAAATTAAAATTGCTGATGGTTCCCTTTCAACAATTGCTGGAAAAGGATCAATAGCCATTTCAAAATCTCTTATTCTCCATAATGTCCTCCATGTTCCAAACCTCTCTTGTAATTTGCTATCTATCAACAAATTAACCCATGATTTAAAATGTTGTGCTAAATTCTTCTCAACTCACAGTGAATTTCAGAAATTGGACTCGCAGAGGAGGATTGGCAATGCTAAGGAAAGTGGTGGACTCTATTATTTTGAAGATGGAAGTACCATGTGTGGACAAGCTCAAACGACTCGTCTTGGGCCAATCTCTGTCTCTAGTAACAATGACATAATGTTGTGGCATCTTAGGTTAGGCCATCTTAACTTTCACTATCTGAAATCCTTGTTTCTAGATTTATTTAAGAATAAAAATTCATATTTTTTTCAATGTAATATTTGTCAAATTGCTAAGCATTATCGTGCATCATTTCCTATTCAGCCTTATAAGTCCTCTAAGCCATTTTCTCTTGTTCATAGTGATGTGTGGGGTCCTTGTAGAATACCAACAATTTCTGGGAAAAGATGGTTCTAACATTAATTGATGATCATACTAGGATTTGTTGGGTTTATCTACTAAAGAAAAATCAGATGTTGAACATGTTTTCAAAAACTTTTATAAAATGGTTGAAACACAATTTCAAGAAAAAATTCAAGTGTTTCGAAGTGATAATGGGAAAGAATACTTTAATCAGATTCTTGGAACATTTTTTCTAGAAAAAGGGATTATTCATCAAAGCTATTGTATTATCACTCCACAATAGAATAGAGTAGCAGAAAGAAAAAATAAACATCTCTTGGAAGTAGCTAGGTCTTTAATGTTTACAACTAAAGTACCTAAATACTTATGGGGGGAAGCTATTCTTACTACTACTTACCTGATTAACAGAATGCCATCAAGAATATTGAACTTTCAAACACCATTAAATATGTTTAAAAAATGTTTTCCAATGTCACATTTAATATCTGATTTATCTCTTAAAGTGTTGGGATGTGTTACTTTCGTGCATGTGCATGACCATAACCGCAGCAAATTGGACCCACAAGCTATAAAATGTGTTTTTCTTGGATACTCTTCAGCACAAAAGGGTATTGCTATTTTCATCCTCAAACGAAAAAGTTATTTATAACTATGGATGTCACTTTTTTTTAATCTCAAAGTTTTTTTTGACACTCCTCTTTAGGGGGAGAATAACCATAGTTGTGAAGACTCATTGTTTGAACTTGAAGGAAAAAACACAAATTTTGTACTTCAACTAGATACTTTAATGAGTTGGGATTTTGGAGTTTCAAATTTGGAAGTGGAGCAACCTACTTCACTGCCTAAAAGTGAAATAGAAACTAGAACAGAGAATAACTCAAGAAATAAAGAGGAAGGTCCTAAGCTTATTGTGTGCTCAAGGAAAAAACAGATTCAAAAGAAAGATAACATCACAACCTTACAAAACCAAAAATCTGATACAAGGCCAGATCCAAATAACATAGTTTCTTCAAGTCCAAGTACCTCTTATGAATCAAATCCTTCAAAAATTGACATTCTTAATTTTGTCGATATTCCGATTACTCTTAGGAAAGGTGACAGATGTTAGAACATGTACTACGCATCCAATTTCCAAGTATGTGTCATATAAAAATCTATCACCCTCCTTCTATGCTTTTACTCACAGTTATCTAGTGTGGATGTTCCTAAGAATATACAGGAGGCTCTAATTGCTCGTGAATGGAGGGAGGCTATCTTTGTGGAGATGAAGGCTCTAGAGAAGAATGACACATGGGAAAAGGGTAGATTGCCGAAAGGGAAGATGCCTGTGGGATGTAAGTGGGTGTTCACTGTAAAATTCAAATCAGACAGGACTTTGGAGTGTTACAAGGCAAGGTTGGTAGCTAAAGGTTTTACACAGACATATGGGATAGACTACCAAGAAATGTTTGCTCTAGTTGCAAAATTAAATACAGTGCATGTGCTTTTGTCTGTGGCTATAAACTTGGAATGGTCATTACATCAATTAGATGTTAAGAATGCATTTCTTAAAGGTAACTTAGAAGAAGAGGTCTTTATGAATGCTCCACCAGGATTTGAAGATAGTTTTGTGTCTAAAGTACGCAAGTTAAAAAAGTCCTTATATGGTTTAAAGCAATCTCCAAGGGAATGGTACAACGATTTACAAGGTCAATCAAGAATCAAGGCTATAGTTAAGGACAAACAGATCATACTATGTTCATGAAGCATACCAACGGATGGAAGATTGCAATTTTGATTGTCTATGTAGATGACATAATCCTTACAGGAAGTGATGATGCTGAGATGGCTAGATTGAAGAGATGCCTTGCAGTAGAATTTGAGATTAAATTTCTGGGAATACTACGGTATTTTCTAGGAATGGAAGTTGCTAGATCAAAAAAGGGATTTGTTGTATCACAAAGGAAGTAAATCTTGGACTTGCTAAAAGAGACTAGAATGAGTGGTTGCAAGCCAAGTGATACACCAATGGACCCAAACCAAAAGCTTGGAAGAAAGACCCAAGGAGTGCCAATTGAAAAAGGAAGATACCAACGCTTTGTAGGAAAACTAATCTATCTTTCCCACACAAGGCCGGACATTGTATTTGCAGTCAGTATTGTAAACCAGTTTATGCACTCACCATATGAAGAACATCTTGAGGCAGTATACAAGATTTTGAGATATCTTAAGAATACACTTGGGAAAGGATTATTGTTCAAGAAAAACCATTTGAGAAGTGTGAAAGCCTTCACAGATGCAGATTGGGCAGGCTCAATCACTGATAGAAGATCAACTTCTAGTTATTGTGCATTTCTTTGAGGTAATCTTGTCACTTGAAGGAGTAAGACGCAGAATGTTGTTGCACGAAGTAGTGCAGAGGCAGAATTTCGAGCTATGGCTAATGGAGTATGTGAGATGATGTGGCTAAAAAGAGTTCTTGAAGAACTAAAGCTAGAATCAAAACCTCTGATGAAATTGTTTTGTGATAATAAAGCAGCAATCAGCATAACTAATAATCCAGTTCAGCATGATCATACAAAAAATGCTGAGATTGATAGGCATTTCATTAAGGAGAAGTTAGAAAATGGAGTAAACTGCATGCCATTTGTCACCTCAGAGCAACAAACAGCAGACATTCTAACCAAGAGTTTATCTAGACCTGGTTTTGAAGCACTAGTCAACAAGTTGGGCATGATTAACATCTATGCACCAACTTGAGGGGGAGTGTAGAAATATCAGGATCTTGTTATAAAATCTAAACTGTTAAATGTTAACAGATTTGGATTTTTAGGTGATTAGGTTGTTAGGTAGATATGAAGTTTAAATTTTAGTCTATTTAAATCCTTGTAATTCTCATGTTAATCAATAAAAAGTAATCTTCTCTTTCTCCTCTGTTTTGTTCTATTCTGTTTACAATTCCTATGTTTCTAGATCTTAAATTTTTGTGGAGAATTTGTTAATATATTAATGAAAACTATCAATATACATTGAATATTTTTATATAAAAAATATTTTTATTGTTGTGTCCTGCTGTACCCATGTCCTTATTTTTTAAAAATTGTCATGTTGATGTATCCATGTCTTACCTATATTATGTGTCCGTATCCGTGCTTCATGAGTGAAAACCAAAAAACTCTATGATATACCTGGTCTTCAAGTTGAGTGACATTTTATTGCACGTTCACTAAAGTTCCTGCCACTTTAATAGGCAATTATTTCATACCTAAAGATATAAAAAAAAAAAATTCAATCAGTACCCAGGCCACACCATAATGTCAGACAGCACCTTCCTCTATCTATTTTACGTCTGCATATGGCTTTCCTGGGTTCTGGCTTCAGCAATCCCTACCTTTCTTTAACCTAATAATAAAAAGAATCCAGGAAAAATTTAAACAATATAGCATCAATAGAAGCAATTTCAATATTACGGTTGACTCTAGCATTTCAACTTAACATACTATACTGAAAAAAAATATATTTTTCTTCCCTGACATAAAAGAGTTATTGGTCCATCAGAATCACTGGTTCATTTTCTACATCAATTTGTAACTCTAGCTTTGCAACCTTAAACTAAAACAAATGTTCTCAATAAAACTTTTCCTCATCATAAACCTTTTCCTTTCTTTTTTCCTTCTGAATTGAAGTTTATCGTAAAGCTTAAATCCACACCAATTGCACCAATCCCTGAGCAAGAAACTCTTAGTTTCTCAACTAGAAACTGAGACTTGAATAAGAAAGAATGCTTAAATCTGAGCAGAACAGGAAAATTGAATAAAGGAAATAAACCTTGGAACATATGTTGCATGCATACAACATACAAAAGACATCTGAAAGACACATTGAACACAATGACAAATAGTAAACAATGTGAAAAGAAAGGAAAGCAAAGCACCTCAAACCCTGCACTGTCATATTGTCTTCGCTTTTCTGGGTCAGATAAAATGCTATAAGAATATGCAACTTCCTTAAAAAGCTCTGAAGCCTCAGGGTTGCTAGCATTCTTGTCAGGATGATACCTGTCGAATGAACAAAAAGGGAAATATGAAGAAATCCAGGTTAAAAGCAAACCAAACAAACAAGCCTTTGATTGTAACATTAAACTCAATAGCTCAATCCTAACTCTTGTGGATCAACAATATAGATCTTTCATTCGAACAGGGATCAAGAAGAATGAGACAGTACAAATCTCATCTATAAGATTCCATTCACATTTCAATTTCACTCATTAATTTTAGTTCGTAGGTGGGTGGATGGATGCCATTGTTATAATGTCACCAGCTCATATATGAAATGTTTGACAAATAACTAATAAAACACAACAAGCACTCAACTTGTGAAGAACAACAAAACAAAAATGCCCACTGAAGTTATTTACAAGAGGAATTGGCACAGTCGAAGAAAGACTTGCTGCAAGCATAGCAACACAAATTGTTCTGTAAACAATCTGACTCACCTCTGTCAGCGATTCTACCACAGAATCAACTAGGAAAGACACTCCCTACAAGTATAGGAACTCTTCACATAGGAGTTTCCAATAAAAATGTTGATTATTTTTCACCAACAAAATTTCCCCCATTAAGCCATTGGCCTCATTGAGCTATAATTCAGGTAGCAATTAAACTTAAATGCAAAAGTTATGCAATCATCAACTTCCCATCGGCTCGAAATCTAATCTAATATTAATCGCAACCAACACATTGGAAAAAAAAAACATAAAATTGATTAAGAAAAGCATTTAAAAAAAATATTTACTTGAGAGCTAGCTTTCTATAAGCAGTTTTGATCTCCTGATCAGTTGAATCCCTTGAAACGCACAAAACTTCGTAAGGGTCACGACGCATAGTCGGTGCCGATGGTCCTTCCATCTTCTTTGAACGCATCTCCTTCTTTTTCCTCTATCAAAAACTCCTGTTTTCTTCTTTTATTTGAAAACTCTCTTAAAATATGTCTAAATTACACGCGCAAATCTACAAATCTAGAAACAGAAAAAGAAAATGAAAGATCGATACTTTTAAAGAGAAAAAAAAAAAAAAGAATTATACGGAATTCAACGCGGTATTGGATTGCTCCATTTCTTTCTCTAGGGAAAAGAGAAAGCAAAGAAATAGCAATAAATAACAAAAACATAAAAAGAAAGTAAAGATCTAACTTACGAAGAATATACGGGTAAATAAGGGATTTTAAAATCTCAAATTTACACGAGGCTAGACTCAAGAAGATCATTTTTATTATTTCAGTTAACTTCAAAATTAATTTTTTATTTTTATCATGATTTAATTTGATAAAACTATTAAATATCCTTATTTTAAAAGTATTCAATTTATTTGCATTTAATAATATTTTCATAATTTTCTAAAAACTTTAATAAGGGTGTTCCATGGGAATAGAATTTTACTACATAATGATAATTGAGAAAAATAAAAATCACCTAGTATTACCTTAGCAAACTTGAAATCATTGCGTTTGAGATTTGGATTTTTGAAAATATGATTTTAATTTTAAAATTATTATAAATTATGTATTAAAGCATATAAAAATATGATTTTAATGATTATTTTTAAATATATAAATTCATTGGATCCTTATAATGATGAAGTTGAAATACTTTTATGTTAATTCATTTTTTTATTTTTTTTCTGATGTAAAGGTTATGGAATTTTAGCTCATTCATGCATAATGTATATTTTATTCTCATAATTTATTTAACAAATTAAATATAAATTTACTCTATCAAATTCAATGGTGTAACTACATGTTAAAGAGGGAAGTCAATTAATTTATGTAAACACCCTATTTTATCTGAAAATTTTTTGATATTAAAATGGGCTTCAAGTTCTAATAATTGGATGAAAATTGTAACCAAGCCTTAATTAAGAAATTAAGGTAGTGTTTGGTTTCAGAAAATAGAGCAATTTTATGTTTTTATTTTTATAAAAAATAAAAAACATGAGTAAAAATGTGTTTGGTAATTGAAAATGAAAACAAGTTTTTAGAAAATAAAAATGAAAATGGGTTGAAATATGAAAACAAAAAAAAAATGTTTTTATTTGTGAAAACAATAGACGTATATTATTTTTTTCTTATATTTTATAAGTTATCATATTTAAACACCTTTTAATGTCATTAATTAATTAATAAATATATATTATATTTATAATTAGATTATATTAATAGTAATATCATTGAATATTTTATTTATTTCTTTATTTTTACATTTTAAAAAAATAATTTTTATTTTTATTTAACAAATACATTTTTTAGAAAATAAAAATAAAAATAAAAACTATTTCTAGAAAATAAAAATAAAAACATAAAATATTTTCTCAAACCAAATGAAGCCTAAATTTCGAGTCCAAAAATTAAAAGCCTAAAATTATATTTGTATTTTTTATTTTAGTTTAGTTTTTTATTTTAGTTCTTTTTGGTTTTTATTATTATTTTATTGGAAAAAATGAGAAGTAAAAAAAAAATGGTGATTTTTGCAAAAAAAAAAAGTTTAAAATTTGATTTTGAGATCCTATTAAAGATTGGAAATCTAAAGACCAATTGCTTATAGAAATTCTTAAGCCCTAATTCAAGGACAAAGGAAAATCACAAAAAAAAAAAAATCTTAAAAATCTTTGGTAGATTCGATGGGATTAATGCTTTGCCAAATTGAAATGGGATTTTGTCCTTATAAAATGACCCCGAATTTACAACCACGAACACAAGCAATAAGCAAATTCAAGCAATCACAGTAGCATAAAATCTTTTTTGAGTCTCGATCCTAATAATTCAATTTTTGGGGTTTTTTAAAACTATTTGGATTCTTGAAGTGTTGTTGGAAGATTCTAGATTCTAGGTTTTTTGGGATTTGTGAATTGGTTTTGATTCTTGAAATTTTTGGAAGATTTTGAGATTTTTTTTTTCTATGATTGTTTTAGATTTTTCTTGCTTTTTGAAATTTTTTGGTTTTTTGTTGAAATTTATGAAATTTTTTTTGTTTGCTTGAATTTTTCAGTGATAATTTGATTTTTTCGGTGGGGTTTTACAATGGTCAAAGCAAAATACATTGGCTGATTTTTGGGTATCTGGGAAATTTTGAGTTTTGGTTAAACTTTCCAACACTATTTGAATTTTTTTGTGTCAAATTATAGAATAAGTGGTCGAAATTTAGAATTTGGTTAGGTTTTCAAGTGGGATTCTAGAGAGAAGTCAAAATAAATTTTAGGTTGAAAGAGAAAAGATAATGCAATTCTAAGAAAAATGATGAAACCTGACTTTTACATTGAAGTTGAATGACGTCATTTAAAGGAGACTTAGATTCGTGTTAACCTAGATGTAACCTACATGCTAACTCGCAATTAACCCAATCGTATGTTTTCATTTTTTTTTTCATTTTTTTGCTTTTATTTTTTATTTTATTTATTTTCTTGTTTTAGTTTATTTTTATTTTATTTTTTTAATTATAGTTGAGTTAAAAGTGACAAGCAAAAGAAAAAGAAAAAAATTTTGGTAAGATTTTTATAGTTTGGTTTCATGTTTTTATATATTTGTTTTGAATGATTTTTATGATATTTTAATTGCATGATTTTATGATGATATATTTGCATAAATATATTTTTGCATGGATTTAATTTATTTGCATGATTTATTAATATTTTTGCTTGATTTTTTATTATATTTATTGCATGTTATCTTTGCATGATTTTTTGTCTTATATTTGCATGATTTATGTTGCATGTGTTTAATTTTAATATTAGTGCATATTTTTCCTTGATATTTTGAAGGAATTTTGTACGACAATATTTTGTAAATAAATAAAAAAATTGAGATTTAATTTTTCATAAAATATTTAATAAATTTGACAATGAAGTCTCTTTAAATAAACAACGAGTTTATCTTGAGTACTTTTGAGGTGATAATTTTTTTTTGTTAAAACTTAAAGACTTTTTTCTAATATTAAATATTGAAACTAATAAAAAATCATCTTTAATTAAGATTTAAACCAGAAAACATAAGACTAATTTAGTATCAATTTTAGGCTTTGTGGGGTACTAAAACTTTCTCTATACATAACCAACTCCCAAACTTAGTTTTTGTTAGTGGAGACTAGAATTTATTTTTTAAGAACCTTAAGTAAACTTAAAATAATCTTAAAAAGAATAGATTCCTATAAATCACTAACCACACTTAGATAAAAAAAAAAATTGGTACTAATTCCATATTTTTGTATCTAATAAGTAGGTTCTTAGACTTGAACGTTATGATAGCCTACTTTATTTTTTTTTTAAATTGTTTATATAGGTATTATAATAATTTTGTGTAATTTTCTTATATTAGGCTATGTTTAGATTGAGGAAAGGTGAAAGAAAGGAAAAGAAAGAAAAGCAAGGGAAATTAAAAAACATTTCTCTTGTTTGATTTTATCATTTACATTTTAATAAAGGAAAGGAAAGGAAATTGAGCATCATTCTCTTTCTTTTAAAAACTCCAATTTTTATTTACCCCAAATTGGTGCAAACAAAAAGAAATGGCAAGGATTAAAATTTGTTAAATATAAAATGATTTTTATGTCTTTATTATATTTTATCATTATTCAAAGAATACTATTATAATATTAAACTTAACCGTTGATATTAACCATTGATACAACTTTTAAATTTTTTGCTACTCATTCCTCATCTATTTTTTGTCAATAATTTCAAATTCAATATATTTTTAATTTATGCTTAGGTCTTAATTTTTTTTTATTTTGTTATCACTTCACAAATTGTAAATAATAAATAATAAATAATAAAAGAATATGACAAAACATGTATAATTGTAGGAAGATACTAAAACAAATTTATGGTTAGTTTTATCTTAATAGTAAATATTTACATTTTTAATTTTATCATTTATAGATTAATTTTGAAAAAAATATTGTAGTATAAAAATAATTCCAAATATACATTTTTATGAATTAATTATTAATAATATTCTCTTCAATTGAAATTATTTTTATTAGCTTTCAAAAGTATTTAAAATAGTTAGTATCAAAATTATTCACATGATAGAAAAAATATTTTATTTTAAAAGGATATAATTGGAGTAATATAATATAGTATTTCCTTTCTTTTACTTTTCATAACTTAACCAATAAAAAATTGTGATAAATCTATTCTTTTCTTTTCCTTTACTCATTATAACTATCCAAACAAAGGAATAAACTATCATTTTCTTTCCTTTAAAAACTTTTCTTTTCCTTTCCTATACTAATTTCAATCCAAACGTAAAACTTAATCTTATTAAAATTAAATAGAAACCTAAAAAGAGAAATTAGATAAATAAAATTTTCTTTCATTTTATAGCAAAAATTATATAACTTTTCAAAATAAAATCTTAAAAACATTGTATTTATATTTAATATGACTATAGTTTCACCAATTAACTATGGGTTTACTCAAATTATATATTAGTTTGTTGGTTGTTATTTAGCTTATTTGTTGGATTATGACTCTTTGATGTATATTAAAAGATTATTTGATTATAATTATAATTTCTACTAGATTTATTTGATTAAAACAAGAAGTATGACATATTTCAAATATATTATCAATCTTTAACTTTTACTTAGTAAAAATATTATTTATTTTTGTATCTAAAATACATCTTTTGTGTATTGCTTTAAAAAATAATTAGTTTTAAACCCATATGATCTATGAAAATATTCATATATAAATAAATTTATATATAATAGAATTTTTTTTCTAAAATAATAATATAAGCTTTGAAGTTTATGAACAACTCAAATTTTATATCAACATTTTTTAATTAAATTTTGTATATTTTAATATAATAAAATAAGTTAATTATATATTAGATATATTTATGCAATTACTATAAAATTTAAAGAAAACTAAAACTGTAATTTATTGAATTCAAGTAATCATTAAACAAAAGACAATAATATCTTCGATTCCAACTATAATTTCTATGTACAAACTTTTTTATGAGAAATTCTTTCATAAATTGTTGTTAGAGTGAAGATACGACAATTGATTCTTGAGTATTTTTTTCTATCTTTGAAGAAGGTATCATTTTACTTGATGAATCAATAAATTTCATAGATAAAAGTGAAAAGACAAATAAAATAACAATCTGTAATTTGATTAAAGTTTCAGTT